TATATTGTATACCACACTAAAACCTATACTGGAAGTACCATATACGATATATGACAGACCTCACCCCCCCCCCTTCCCTCCATTTGGTCCTTAAATCCAGTTTTGGGTAGTGCATCAAGCCCTGCGTTTCCTGAGCCCCCTTGGCTTATCCACCACACCACTATTGAACAGAGGACAACAAATCCGTATGCACTACGCACGGATCAAGCACTGACGAGGTACCTGCCTGCTTCGCAGACAAATCGATTGCGATAGATACAACTTCACTTCCAGCCTCACCTTGAGAAGAAATATGAGAGAATACACTCGTATGTTGTCCATGCGCTCCCGCGCCTGGTCTTCCTTGTCACCCCCCCCGCCGCCACGGCCACCTTGACCGCCCCTACTGTTGCTACTGCGACTTCGACCCCAAACCGCCTGCTGCTCTCGCTGCCTCTCCTCGCTGATGAACACCTCGTCATCTTTGGTGGTGTGCCTCACCATGAGCCGTGTTACCAGGGGAATCAGCTCGTGAAGGGCTGTCCCCCCCGCCAGGGTGCCCACGAGCCACCCCAGGCATCCCGCCGCGTCTGCCTGGGCCCACTGGCTGCGCGATCTCAACATATCGCCGAGTCTGGGATGTCGACGGCACATACAGGGCCAACAACATGTAAAACATTTGTCTGGGGGTTCAACAAAATTCTGAGTACTTCACCACTACTGTGCGAGGATGAGCTGCAGCACGGAAGAGTAGGTACCCAGGCGAGATCTTCACATGCGGTTATACAAGCACGAGGCTGGACACAACACAAGGAAAATCATTCAACAGTTTACCGCGCTTTTAACGTGCACGAGAGAATACTGGGGAGGGTGCGGAGAGGGGATGAACCGACGCCGAGTTCACCGAACACAAGCCTCAGCGTGGTGGCTATTGCCCTTATGAAGCGCTGCGTGAATACAGGGTCAGAAGAAACATTTTTCCCGATGTGTGCTCGTTTTTGTGTAGCGCTGTCCGAACGGTTAGCAGACCAACAACGAAACACCACGGTAAACTCGGCCAATAGTTCGTTGGTACCTGACCACAGCAACCGTTCAAGGATTTTTGTTGCTTGTCGCCATCTTATTCACTTACCGTTGCTCGAGATGTGGGCTACGTACCGCACGGTCTTGCCCCTCTAATCGAGGAGGTCCGATCTGGGGCCGTCACGCCCTCAGCGGTGCGTGTCTCAAGCCTTTCTTAGGGAGAAGAGGGCCCAGCCTATGTTTCTCTCACAGTACGGGTCCAACTGCATCTGGTAGGTATGCACACGAACATCATTTGTCACTGGAAAGTTTCGGAGATATGGTCAGGTCGTCACCTGTCAACCACGGCCGAGCTATTCGGTGCCGCCGTGAAGCCTCTAGCCACCTCCTCGGACATACACAAGGACGCCAGCGCGTTGGCAGCTTTGCACTGCAGCCTGATGTCGGCGTGTGTTTTCAGCAGCGCGTCCTTCACGGCTTCCAGCCCCCTTCGACATTCCGAGACGATGTCGGATAACGATGTCGGCGATTGCATTACCGGCAGTTGGTTTCAAGCTTCTTGATCAACCTTGCCAAGATGCGCACTGCAATTTCCTAGACAATGTGGGGTTGATTCATAGCTCCGGGAGGCCCGTTAGGGTTGAGCAAAGGTCCCCATTGGAGGTAAACACGACATCCTGAACGGGATGGACTAGTGAGTCTGCGCATACAACAGCAGTAGTGGTGATACAGCAGTACACCAGTATGCCTGGTAGGCAACGTGAAAGCTATTAGCACAGATGATGAGTGGACTGCTGAATTTACAGTAGAACAGGAGAGTAACAAAGGAGTTTGCCACTAATCTCGATTTTTCGCGACACAAGCACCCAGTGTGAATACGAAATACTTTCGCAGTGAAAATCTCCATATTCCATTAATTAACCTAAGCTCTGTTACAGATCACACGGGCTATAAATGTGGAGGTTCCATGCGTAGACTATTGGTACATGTCATGGTGGAGCTCGCCGTCTCGTCTCCGTGTGAGGCATTATGCATGTTTCATGTGTAGATACTTGTTCTGCGATGACGAAAAAATTAAAGAGCAGCATAATGATACTGCAAGGACTCGCTTCGAAGGTTCACTAGTGTTCTTTACAATTGCATTCACTCACCCTCCCTCCGCTACACTGGCTCTCAGCTGTAGACCTTCGGGCGAACAGGTGAGGGCGGCTACTTGGGTGAGGGCGTCTGCGATTGCTTCACGATCGTCCCTTCGCCGCAAAGCGCCACATAACAGCGCTATGTTGGGCACCGTTGGGTTTGGCATGTTTCAATGCAATGTACAGCGACCCGGAGTCTCTGGCGCAGAGCAGCAGCAGTAGCAGCCCAGACAGCAACTGCAGTCCAACACAGAGCCCACACACCAGCAACGCGGCGTAACCTCCCGTGGGGGGGGGGGTGAACAAACCGACACGACACTAAAATGAAAGGAGGCATTTTGACGGTGTATCTCAGTGACTTTCCCGCCGCGCTCCCCGAGAATCTCACATCATCATCATGCCCGAGTTGCCTGAAGTGGAAACGTCTCGCCTCTACGTGGAGGAGTTCTGCCTCGGCAGCACTATCACCAATGTCCATGCGACGGAACAGGGAGGTGGACCGGTGAGCTTTTCACGAGATACCGAATTTGAATTTGAAAGCAAACCAAACGACCACCAATCGAGGAGGTAGACTGCTGCGTGGAGAGACCATCTCTCTCGCGGTTGGCGAGATGCGAATGGGTACGTGAAGCACCCCCAGCCGGTGCAGGAGACCTCATACGGCCCAATGCTTTGAGAAATGTTCCGCGTCGTCATACACTCAATCACGCAAGTTTGAGTACATAGTTGTGAGCGTGAAATCGAACGAGGTTGCTGCTGCAGAAGTCGCGTGCCGGCCGGGTCCTCTGACTCATGTTGTGTCATGAGAGAGAGGTGTAGACTATGCACAGATATAAGTAACATGTTGCTTTGTTCTGGTTCGTGTGGGTACATCTCCGCGGCAGCGAGACGGCCAATTCGACGACATCGTTATTGGGGAGGACATGACGGCGAAAAGCTTGAAGGACACTCTTGAGGGGCGCAAAATTGTGGAACTCAGACGTCGCGGGAAGCAGATGTGGTTCGTTCTGGACAAGTGAGTTGCTGGCCACTGGCCACCATACATGTCGTGGTGAGCCTGATGCAGGTCTATCATTGCTGCACGTTACGCGGGTATCAGTAAATAGGAACAGGGGTTGGTCATTACCACTGCTATGCATCCGCTTACTATCCTGGACTCTATGTATAGACAATAGGATAGAGAGGATTTCGGTGAGAGATATCTACCAGACTCAATCTAGCCTATCTAGACTCAGTCTATGCCTACCACAATAGACTTGTATGCTGTACGTGTTAAAGTCTTTCGCCTGGGTTTCGGCGTGCATGCGCTCGGGTGAGCCCTCTAGACTGCGCCTCTCGCGTTTGTGGCTGCAAACCGCTGGTGATACCGCTAAAGCACAGGTATATCAGTGAAAAATACCTTGGTACTGAAGCCAATAAAGACACGCGTGAAATTAGTACAAAATGTTGTAGCCCCCCACTTCCCGCCTGCGTCCGATTGCCTCCAGGCCGCCTCACCCCCTCTTTCATTTCGGAATGACGGGGGCCTTTACTGTGAAGGGAGAAAAGCGGCACAAGTTCGTCAAGTTCAAGGTTTCCGAAGAATGGCCGCCAAGGTTCGCAAAGCTCGAAATACAGGTGCGAGCGCGGCCTTCGGTAAATGTTGTGTTCTGAGCGTTCTGAGCGTGGGGTCAGGTGTTGGTGTGGTCATTCGTGTCCACGTCGTTGACGATATAGTTCTGTGGGCGACCCATGGCGCGTGCCTGCCTTTTGACGTTGTCTGAGAGCGCGTGACAATTCCGCTGTGACATGAAACGTCGCGCGAAGGCGCCTTGAGTTCCTCTGACGCAGTCTAGCGGTACCGCCAGGCTTTCGAAGCCTTTGCGGGTAACACGGATAGCATGATCCCTGCGTGACACACATAGCATGGCCTGCCCATGCGGTCTTTGCCGGGTATCCGGCCTTCACGTACTTGAGAGAACGACGGATCAGCAACGATCAAAAATACGCCGACACCCACGTAGCGAGCCCTGCCGTCACCAAAACGAACATAGTTTGTTGCGACAGTGCAAGGGGTTCCATTGATGCGTTTTGACGGGCGGGCGTTCATACGTGAACCTCTCTCCGCAACTTATCCCGTGCTTCGCTCAGCCTCGTCTCGTTGTTCTAAGGAAATAAGGGTGGAATGCACGCAGGCCCACAAAGATCACATACGGATCGTTGAGCAAGGAATAGATGACTGCATGTTTGTTGTCCTGCCACTAGGTCGTGTTTTCATCGACCAACCGTTTAGTTCCCGCCCATAGGTTCACACCAATCCCTCCACCGCGTACATGGCCCGCGCTGTTAGATGTCGAACGGCGCTTGCCTGGCCTTGACCGACCCGCGACGGTTGTCGAGAGTTAAGCTTCGCGCGGAGCCGGAGGCCTCGCCACCCATCAGCTTGCTCGGGCCCGACCCCCTGACGCACCCTCTGTCCCTCGAGACGTTCGCCGCTGCCCTCGCGAAACCGACGGCGCCGATCAAGGCAGTGCTTTTGGCGCAGGTGTGTTGCATATGGCGCGGTGTCACCGCCAAGATTTTTTTGCATGCAGCGTAGAATACGATCTTGCTAGTGTTACCCCGCTACGTATTTAGTTGAGCGGCGTACAAGATGGGCGTTTTGGATATTTAGGCCATAGGCGAAGCCGCTTGTTTCACGTGCACTGTTTTCTGCGGCGTTTTATTTCTGGTTTGTATCGTATATGCGCCCTCGCATTTTCCTGTGGATAGATAAGTGTTTCCTCCTTCGCCTTCTGATAGGTGGAAAGTCTCGGAAGGTGATGCGCGTCCCACAAAAAAGTGTTCAGACAGCGAGGACATTGAAACTGAAAAATATCCTGCCGGTCATCCTCTCGCGCTGGTGGTTGCTGCTAATATCAGGACCGGGTCGTGTCAGGGGTTGGAAACTGGGTGGCGGACGAGGTGTGCTTCCAGGCATGCGTTCACCCCGGCGCCGCGTGCAACACCCTTGACCCAGAGCAGGTGAGACAAGGAACGGGCAAGGGAAGAATGGAGAGAGAAAGAAAGACAAGAGGCGGCAGAGAGAGAGAGAGAGAGAGAGAGAAAGAAATGGAGAGGCACGATGAAACCCGTAGCAATGAGGCGCGTTGCACCATTGCATGCGCTAGTGCGTCGTACGTGTGTCTGAGATTATGACACGTTCACTCTCGAAGTTTGTCACGTTGTACAGGAAACTCCACGTCTCCGCTTCTCTGCAACGTCTCTCGAGACGGATTAGCCGGATATGTACACACAACAGACAGCGGAGGTTTTCATCACCCCAAAGAGTGTACGCAGCGGTTCGAAGCAAATCTTCGACGACGCTTCAAAACGAGACGCTGATCCCCCCTTCTCGCTCATTGTCCTGCGCCGTCGGTACGTCCTTTTGGTGGGTTGGCTGTCTGCACCGCATCGCGAGTCACAGATAGCCGCACTTCACTCGAGGCTCCTGTCCGTGTGCCGCGAGGCGTGCGAGGCTCGAGCAGACTACACGTCGTTCCCTAAGGAGTGGCTGTTCCACCACAGGTAAGGGATGCATCATCCGGGTTCACCCACCCGCACCCTGTTGTATGCGGACCCCCTGGGTTTCGTCGTGCTCGAAGTCGCTTTGCGTGCGTGCCTTTTTCGGTTTTTCGAACGTTGGACCTGACCTGCTGAGCTCGTCCCATCTCTAGAATAGCGTAACACTCCTGCAAGTGCATGTCCATCCGCAGGTGGGGAAAGGGAAAAAATTCGGAAGGGGCCCCTCGCGTGTCCTCCGGACACCCGATTGTCTTCGACGTCGTCGGCGGGCGTACTACGGCCATCGTGCCCGCTGTCCAAAAGAAGGGGCTGCTCCGCTCTCCAACTGCTGCCTCTGGCGGAGTCGACGGAAGAAGATCCGGCAGCGCCAGTGGAAAGAAACCTAAACCTCCTGCTGCCATGGCCAAGCCCAAGACCAAGGCCCGTGGGGACGGGGTTGGCGAGGGCAATGCCAAAGCAGTGCGCCAAACGGGGGGGAGGGACGTTACCCCAAAGAAGGAAGATCAGGAGGGGCAGGATAAGAGTAGCGTCGAGAACAAGAAGTCGGTCAAGGCCAGAACTGCTGCCAAGAAAACCGGCCGCGTGAGCACCAAAGCGAAGGACGTCGCACCTGTCGCCAAGAAGGGAGGCGGCCCCAAGAAGAAGTCGGCTGCTGGGCCTGCTGCTACCGCTCCCGGCAGTAGTGCCAGGGGAGGCGGGCGGAAGAAGGCTACGCCGACGATGCGAGCAGCTGCCAGCAAGCTGAAGACCGACCCTTCCGCACAGGTACCAACCCCGGCAGCGCGAGGAAAGCAAGCCACGGCTGTGGCCTCGAAGGTGGCCGTGGCGCCGAAAAGAGGCAGAGCAGGAGGCGACGACGGCGGTGTTGGCAAGGCAGTTGGGGCAGCGTCGGCGAAACGAGCCAAGACTACGAAAGTGGCTGTGAAGCCGGAACGGATACCTGCCACGGCGGTTGCATCGCAGAGTTGTAGAACCACGACTGCAAAACGCGCTCCGAGCAGACGAAGCCCGAGGCTCTCCGTCTAGGCTCTCCGGCTATATATTGGGTTGCCCATGGCGATGCTGATGGAAACAATGTAATGTGAAGTGGTCTGGCCCAATTGCATCAGCCGCAAAAGCGTCTCGCGGACATTGGTCGCGTCTGGATTTTAGCGTTAGAAAGTGCCATGTTTTGAGCCTGCAGTCTGGGCGTAGCTTAGAAGAGTGGGATGTTTCGGTTTTTGAACGCGAGCCGGAGCTGGCCTGAGGAATGCACATGTTGGCGTTGTGGTCCACAAGTGTGTCTGTCTACTTGGTTGTTACCGAAGCATGCAACACAACCATAAGATTCAAAACCACCCGGCCTCTATTAAGGAGAATAGGGCACGAGCTTAGGCGTGATTTGTGGGTCTTGCCTTCGCAAGGTGTTCATCCGGTTCCGTGCGCTCCACAGAAGCGTGTTTTGCAACCGCTGTTTGTCCCGGGCAACCAAAAGATCCATACCCCAGATCACCCTCTCCGAGCACCTCTTCCTGACGGAGCAGACCTTGCCACACAGCCTTCTCGATTGTTGGCAAGGTTCAGACTCGTGACGCGAGCATTGCCCCAACAATTCCCCTCTGTTTCAGATGCAGCCTACGAAGTCAGAACCACTGATGACACACATTCGGATTTTCTATTCCAGGCTAAGGCCCACGGGAGACGGGCCGAGGCCCGCTCGGGGTCCTCTGAATATACCATACACCAACCACACTACAACACCGTACGCAAGGCCCGTCTTGGGGGTCCTCTTACTACACCCATAGACCATACTACAACACAGCATACGCACGAGCCTTCGCCACGCCAACAGAGCGGGAACCCTTGGTCTAACTGGCACGTGAGTACACGAAGGTCCTCATATCGGGATACTAAAACACACAACCGCCGAATTCTTGCGTCTGCATGGGGGCTCCTAAACCCTAAGGCCCTCGAATTGCCACCGGCTGCGTAAGCAGCAGCACAGGTTGATGGGGGTCAGCCTAGGAAGGAACGAATGGCTGTACACGCGTGGGTACGCATAAGGACGACAAAGGAAGATATTTCATAGCGAGTAGAGGGGTGATCATACCCACCCGTGAAGAAACAAGCCAGGCGCCAGGCTGACCAACACTGCTAATGGGTCAGCTTGGGACGTTTCTTAGCCTTGAGGAGGGGAGAGCACTCACTTGGTAAAAGCCGATTACTAGGTGAAGGCGACAACAACAAAACTAACAACAACAACAACAACAACAACAACAACAACAACAACAACAACAACACCATTGCGTGGAATCGAGCGGGAAGAACAACAAATCACAAGGAGGGATGATGCGGTCAACAAATACGATCTCTTACTATAGCCTCAAAAATATGCTTCCGGCGGTAGACTTCGTAGTAAACAATGATCACACCACGTCCACCAATATTCACACAGAGGAACCATAACACGCGGTCACACAGCTTCGTGTTTCATTCCTTACAACGCGCATACACGTGCCAAACGATCTTATTCACCGACAACGGCAGCGACGCAAGTGACATGTAAAAACAATCCCACCACGCAGTCAGGTCAGTTATCCCTCGCACGGAGAATAGGAGGGGGGGCAGAAAGTAACGGAGAGGAGGAAATCGTCAAGAGGGACGACCATTTTCCTTTCGGCCGCTGTCATTCGGCGAGATGCCGCCCCAGCCGCCCCACGTCGGAGCTGGTCATCGGCACGCGAATCCACGTGCGCATTATGGTGCACGTCTCACCGGTCGTGTTGTTCCTCACGCTAAGCTCCTGCGGGCGACGTTCGATACGGCACGGGACGACGACGCCAGCGACAAGAGAGTCAGGGCACAACACGGCTGGTGCTTCCCCGCATCCTTGAGCGGCGCAGCAGTCGTTTGAGCGAGCAAGGCAAGGTTTACCAATGTGAACATGAATCGCCCGTATGACGACCAACCGTAAATTTCCAATCCGCCATGCTTGCCGACGAGAACGGCCATCGCTATGTACAACCGAAGTCGGTCACCCTAACGAGTCAAAACGGCGTCTTCGCGCGCAGTTGTACTGTGGCATCGACGATCATCAGGCCACCAACCGTGAACGAACACCTCAAGACCAAACCTGGGCGTGAGCGTGTCCCCCTTCTTCGAGTCGGCGCGCGTCGACCAAAGACAAGCTGCGGCCTTCGGCAGACATGGTGCTGATCGCAACAAAGTAGCCCGTCAGCAGCCCGTCATCGATGAGGAACGCGGTGGACCGCTTGATGTAACCGGCAGCGTTTTGGACAGCCTTCTCCATTCCTAGCTCGAAGCTGCAACCGCAACGGGAACCGAGAGATTGTTGTTGACATCGCAAGCTACATGTCGCTTGTGAGGTTGCATGGGAGTGTGTGAAAAGTGAAAAAGGCTTGGAACGGGCCCTCAACCGGTAAGACAGGTGGGCCCAGCTCGTGGTGGTGTCGAGAACGGCACCTCGGCCTAGGAGGGCCGAGATGGGTATCTTTTAGGTGTGAAGAAGTCACGCCTTTCAGACCACCAGACGGATCGATCTCCTTTAACCCAGGATACTCCGAGGAAACCAAGCAGACTCCCCTTTCGCACTGCAATCCTACGGACTGCACAATGTCCGAAGATAAATTCCCAATAGCCAACCCATCATGCAGATTGCTGGTGCTATAGTACGAGCATATTTGGCACCCAACGCTTGAACGGCATCAGCATACGATCCATAAGGGGTGGGGACCTGCTTTGTCGTTCTTGTCACGTTTCCACCCAACTGGTGGGGTCTACCCGGGTTCGTCGCTAGGCTGAAACGCTTCTCACAACAACACGGATGTGGAAATTCCGACTCACGTTTCGGTGAAGTGATTTGCTGCTGTGCGCTTGTAGATGACCAGGTGGGTTTCGTTCAGCATGATGGCGTTCCGGCTCTGTGTGTTCTGCTCTCCGGCCGCCTTGACGAAACAAAGGGATAAGATTCAATGATACGGGATAAGGACACGGGATTAGGCGCACAGAAACAAAAGCGGCCTCTTTGCCTGTTCAAAGCTTCAGCCCGCGGGGAAAGCACTGCACCACCAACAAGACGCGCGTACGTGCGCAGCATTGCTGTTCGCGCAAGGAAAGGGGTATGCTTCCGGTCGATCGCGCGTGCAAGAACTAAGGAGAAAGTAATGCTCACGAGTTGCCGTCGTTGGTTGGGGCGACAACATCGACTGTCTTTTGTACCTGTGCTTCGATGGCAGGCTCGGGATTGTCCAGTAACAGTCGAAGGTAGTCTTCCATCGAGTCGGACCTGAGCACAACCGAGGCAACCCGTAAAAGAGAAGGGACAGAGGAGGACGGTTGCGGCGGCGGCGGGGGGGGGGGGATGTTAAACAGATCGCGTGTCCCCCTCGTTTTGAAGGGTGACGACCTCTGGGACGGAGCAGCACCGTTCCTCTTCGCTAAAATATTTCCAACAATGAGGTCATTCTTCGAATTGTGGCTCGTGTCCACGTGAAGGCAGCACGAGAGCGAGCGAGACAACAGTGCAGCGGGGGAGGCTCTCCGCACCGACCCAATGTGTCGCCCGCGATTTCACCGGTATCACGGCTGACGCCTGGCAGCGGGGGCACCTATCACAACTCAAGAGTATGGAAACAACTCGACTGTTCCCATCGGTGTCACGTGAACCAATTAGCAGCTAGCAGGCACCCGGGCTGCTCAATCGCCACATCTTTTGTGGGCCTTCCACCGTAGGAAACAAACGCAACGTCGGTGTCAATGACAACAAGACACTCCCAAGAAGTAGTACGGCAGAAGTCCAGCACGTGTGTGCGTGTGTCAAGCGGGCTGACCTGGGAGCGCACAGCAGTCACCCATTCATGCCAACCCCGGGATGGTTTAAGGACGACAGAAGAGAGAACACACGCAAGCAACAGCGGGCGCAAGCCCGGGTTTTGTGGGGGGGGAGGCGGCGACCAGCTAACATCACACACCTCGTTACGTCCAGCACCCAAGCCCCCGTGAGAGTTGTGTAACTCGGGAGAAGCGCCCCTTCCGCCATCGCTTCGTAGCTCCCCCAGCCGCGCCGTCCTTGGCCTTTGGCTCAACAGAAGAGGTCTGTCGCCCGACGCCAGAAGAGAAGTTAATGAGGTGTCCGCACAAATATGGCGAGGCTTCGCCTGCAGAAAAGGGGAAGGCAAAACAACGGAGATTGGGGGTTGACGGTCGCTCAAGAACTGTGCACACAACGCCGTCAAGGAAGGGAAAAGGAAAGCGGGCCTGGCCACGTCACGTTTGAGAGCGAATGTCGACGTCAGCGGGAGACCCCGCGAAGCCTTTCGCCGCACAGAGTAAAAAAAGGTGTGATTGGGAAGCGTCTTTCAATGGGAATGTCGACGGGGACCTCAGCTAGACAGAGCTTCTCGTAGCCTCCTATAATAATAGCGAGGCCCGTTCGCCAGCAGTTCGCCATCTGCTGCTTTGGTGTCTCCACGAACGCGCACGAATTGTCCGCTCGAGCAACGCAAACACTCGGAGTTGCGTGCAGGGTTGGTTGTGAGACGGTATGCCACACACTACAAGGCATATGAAAAGGCATAATCAAATGCATGCGGTGTACAAAACCCGGGGTCTGTGTTGACGTTAAAACGGTGATTGTGCGATCCACACAGCTTCCCACTGCTGTACAGCAGCCATGTGCCCTTCCGTCGGTGTGTCATTGCAGCTCACGGCGGCTGAAATGCACAGGACAAAATGTATGCTGTGTATGTAGCGTGTGATATGCACAACAAAATCACAAGAATACAGCGTCGGAGGTACAGCCAACGCAGATACGCGATACACGAGACTGAAGGATACACAGCCTCTTCTTCCCCCCCTCTGCTGTGCAGCAGACGGGTATTGCGACCTTTCATGTGTTTGTCACTGCAGGTAATGGTAATTCGTCGACGTGCACAGCGTCCAGGCATGTAGACTATTATATTATAGTCTATGCACTGCTGTTGTCCCAAGCAACAAGCAACTTGCACTTGACTTGTGGATACTAGACTGCAACGTCGACTGCGCCGCGATGTACACAGCTTTCTAACTGCTGTGTCATGCACGCAGCCCCACGCTGCTGTTTAACGTTGTGCAGCAGACATGCGAGCGGATTCCCCCGTGTGTGTCACCTGCAACAACATCACAACGTCTTTCGGAATGCTCCGGCTTGTCCCTTTGCGACAATGTTTTCGTGTTGGTTCGACCATCTATACTATGTGGCACTGCCGCACCGTGCAAACTGTAGTCCTGCGCTCTTCTCCCAGCCATCCCTGTTGGTGGCATCTACACACCGCTTCGACATCACCGAGCGATGTGTGATACCGCTCCTACTGTGCGGACGGCTGTACAACGAAATAGGACAAAAAATGAACAACAGCGATTGATTTTGCAAGAACGACGATGACAATCGTGTCGTGTGCCTGTCATGCTCGGAACAAATTGGCTGTAAATGCGAGGAGACGCGCACGACACCCGAACAAGAATGCTGCTACAAACACGGGGACACGACTCAGCGCCACCCATCACAAACCATCCGCCTCAGGAATCAATCGTCAACCATATCATCAACGAAACGTAGATCCGACATTTTTGCGGCGAAGAGGGATCGTCTGGACGACACTTTGCTTTGAGTTCACAACGGTCACCAAGAACTAATCGAGACTGACTCCACAACATGATGCGTTCGCGACGAGACATATCGAACCAGCTGCACACCGTCATCATCACCCAGCGACGTCAAGCACTCCTTGATGCGCGCGCTGAAATTGGTACACCGGTGGAACGCGCTGACCCTTGCAAACATTGTGGAGCTACGCTGTTCGCCAAGGAGTCTAGAGGGGTATGCTGCAACAATGGAAAGTAGTACGTTCCACGACTGCCACCCCTGCCATCAATTCTCCAAGACCTCTACACGTCCATCCATTCACCCATCCGCGCAAAAAAAATGCAAAGCATCCCGGGCGCATACAATTAATTGCCATTCCAGCTTCGCGTCGATTCCAGCTTCGCGTCAATGAATGAATGAATATGAATGTCGAAGACGGAGAACTAAACAGAATGTTTGGTGACCACCTCTTGTCCGTCCAAGCAAGGAAGGTGAGTATTTCTACTTTTAAGTATTTATGCATACATACGTAGACATACATCGACGGAAGTATGTCAATACACCGCGCGGCGCGCCGCTCTTCTTCTTGTCGAACAACAACGTTTTTACCTGCCCTTGATGTATTTATTTCTCGAATTTGTCCCGTCCACCCCCCCCCATAAATTACAGGACTTCAGGGAGGGAAAGCTCGCCTTCCAACGTCGTCATGTATGTTGAGAGATCGTTATTTGGTAGAGGCATGGAACGAAATGTATGTATGATACAAGCGGTAGGTAGGCCAAGCTTTGAAAGAGAAGAGTGCCCTTCTGCGTGATGTTGGAGCACTGCTCATTCTCGTGTTCATTGAAAACTGGTGTTCTTCGTTGTTGTTGTCCTGTTGGTTAATAGAAAATACAACTATCTATCTATGCAGGTACGTCCCCTTCAGGACGACCATTGATGATTAAGGGCTGGTCTTGTCCACTTTGTTTGGCGCTCCCACACTTCACTCCCACACCAACCAATAATTAAAACGGGACGCAGCACAGCAGTCCCTGTTTGATTTGGTGAAATAACGAAATAACGACAAGACCTCCCTCTTTTTTTTTTCACCTGCAGTTGCAGCAAGCAATAGAAGACTGGGTCAGAACATCCGGACTAACATTTGAAATAAATCAAAAGTCATTTAATTGAAACCATAGTCCAGCGAAACGGAACCCAGAGTTCCCAACGGCAACCAAAATTCGGTCTAGGAGGTACGATGGCGGATAGTGCACGACTGATGCCACTTTCAGGCCACGTTGCAACATACACGAGGTACAGTCTTCAAACTCGCGCACCACACACTAGCTACCATACACACACGTCCACCACCTATCCTTGAGCACAAGATGATACCCTTGTTAGTGCACTGCCGCCCTCAGCGGTCTGTGGTGTTGAGACTGGGGACTATGTTATCCCAGGAACAGCTGATAAAAAAGGACCATGTATTGTATATATTCGTCACGCAAGCCCCTCAGGCAAGCTGGTATTCGACACGCAAGCCCCTCAGGCAAGTACCGGGAGCACACCGCCGTGTGCTCCCGGGGTCCCGCACTTGGACCACAACCGCACACATACCCTCACACCCATACTTCCAATACGCGTATCCCCCACAGAGGATGCACAGATCGGACTCATATCCAAGTACCACAAACAACCCTCCTCCCGTGCTGACCAACAGTACCGCAAGTAGCAGCAGCAGCAAACTGCCACCAGTGCCACACAACGATGTAACCGCAGCATATAGACTTAACTAACATCATGTCGGAAGCCTGAGATGCAAGAGTTCAACCATTGTTACAGTCTAAAAGCAAGACGTTTTTTTTCGGTGCATCAGTTCGCGGTCGCCTTGAGACTTTTTTTCCGCCGGCTGTTGCCCGCTGCTCTGTCGCGAGCTCGAAACTCCAAAGGCGAGTAGAGTTACAGCACGGTGAATGCACGCAACCACTATTATTTCAGTCATTGGGCTAGACGTTGCGGTGCCGTAAATCGGTTTTAATCGTTTTTAAATGGGGTTTAAACATTTTTTTCGGCCGTCTTCGCCGACGTGGGCGTGCCACTCTCACGATCACAGCGCCCCTGTCGCGAGCTCGAGACCCCGAGGGCGAGCCGAGTTACAGCACCGTGAAGTACGACTAAATCTCCTGCATCCGGGCGCGTCTACGGTAGGGACTGTCACCTCAAAGAATCACGCAGCTCATTGGACGAGATTTTGGAGACTCGTAACCCATGACCGACCACCACTTTGTTGTTACATGTAGGAGCACCGACGGCGGATTTTTTAGTGTAATTGTGCCGCGTGGTGTCAACTAGATATCGACAGACTGCTGCCGTCACCTTCTCCACGTAAGCAACGCTTACTTCTAAGTCCTAACGTACATCGCGTACCTTCACGTACGTACGTGCACACGGCACAACGTATATATATATATGCCTGAAATACACACACACCCTCCAAGTGGCAAGTACAGGTCTACTGCTGCTGCTGTAGGAAGGAATTGAGCAGGGTTAGTTAATTTTATTGTTGTGGTACGCCAAAGCTGGCTTGTGCTTTGAGTTTTCGAACTACATGCAGCATGCACATGTCACGGAAACTGTTAACGACGCTGTATAGTAGTATTGAAGATGCTTCCGTGTCCTGTACACTCTACCGTACACAGGTGAACGGTAGAGAGTTCACGTACGTTTGCTGTGCGGTGTGCCATTACAAGTACGTACATAAATATCCCTGCCTGTCTTTCACAGGTGAACGGTAGATGATATAGATAGATTGATACATACTACCACTATGCACATTTCGTGGATACCACAAGCATTTAGTGGAATATTTGAATATTTCCTGGAAGAAGTTGGTCAGAAGTTAGTCGGTATAAAGCGTGAAAGCGTGACCTTTTCGTGGAATTCTTAGTTGGTCTGCGAAATAAATAGTCTGAGGAAAGGTCGCAAAAGTACAACAGGTAGGTCTGCTGCTGTAGGAAGAAGGAATTTGGACACGGTTTGTTTTATTATCGTTGGTTTGTTGTTGTTGTACGCTACAGCTCTTTTCATTAAAAGTAATTTCCAATTTCGCTTTGTGCTTTGAGTTTTCGAACATCACATGCATTGCATGCATGCACATCGTGAACCTGCAAGTAAGTTTGTTTGGTCTTCTTCTGAAATACTGTCAACGACACGCTGTAGTATTGAAGGTGCTGCTGTAGCCTCTATATACACAGACAGACAGGTGAACGTCTTTTCCAGCTTTGTGCCCTTGGTATGCTGTGCACAGTCTTCACCCACCACCCACCACCCTTCGCTCCTTTCAGCGTAATACTGAGCTCAAGGCGAGGGCGCCTGGCGCCCGAGCCTGGAGACCTTGTATATATATGCGTATGTGCCCTCGCTTTCTATATGCCAATGGCTGTGCAACCCTTCCATCGAGTTCGTGCAATAAGGTAGGGTGTTCCCAGCCCGCGCAGCTCTCAAGGGGCTCACTGGCCTTGGCCCTGTCTCTCCACATCGACACACCCAACTGCCGGCCCGCGCAGTTCTCAAGGAGGCCACTGGTCGTTGCCCCAACCAGCACCGCAACACCTCCACAGCCTATTCTCGTTGTTATGCCGACCACTCAACTCAAACTCTAGGTCTGGTTTTGCTACCAAGCGGTAAGGACCCGCCACCATTTTACTCCCACAGTTCTGTGCATCTTCCTGTTCTTTCTAACTGTTGGTGTGGGTGTGAAGTGTGGGAGCGCCAAACAAAGTGGATAAGACCAGCCCTATAATAGTAAAGGAGATCACAAAACATCATCTGCATTATTATTATTATTTTTATTATTATTATTATTATTATGCTCCGGCGGATAGAGCCAAAAACAAACGTGTTTTTTGGTCTGTTGAACCGTCTACGGACGATGAATTCGTGCTTTAACCGCAAGCTGCAATCAAACGCCTTGTGTTTGTTCCTTGCCTTTACTTTATCTTCCTTGCCCGTTGCACTAAGCCCATTGGTAGCACCCACCATCATCACGGTTTGCTTCACGTCACGCATAGTGACGAAATGCAAAGAAAGTTGGGCACGACCAAACCCCACAACACAAAAGATATACCTTAGACTTTATTTGCGACAAAATGCCACACCTGGCGCAATGCGCTCAACCAATACGAGTTTGTTCGTCGCGTCGTCTGCTATTATTATCGCACCGAGATTCTTCCACCTCGACCGCAAACTAATACTAGCCTCCAACAACACCCAGCATCAATCTGGTAACGACTCACCAATTAAAAGAAAAACAAGACCTCTTACGTGGTTAAAACGTTAAAACAGCATGGTTGTCCTCAACAACCTGCTATTCCCGGGGACTAAAAAAACAAGACCTCTTGCTTACTACGTAGTTCAACAGCATGGTTATCCTCAACAACCTGCTATTCCCGGGGATTACTCATGTTATTCCTCCTACGTTCTACCCATCATTCTGTTCGTGTGAGTGCGAGATGTCGGATCTGTAGACGAGATGACTGTTTCAGGTGCCCTTCACATAGGTATGCGTTGGGTACCAGAGAATGATTGTGTACATTCCGGTGCCTACCTTCGGCTTGCGATTCGGGCCCCGACGCCCACTGGGGGCGGCGGGGCCCTTCAATGCGCTGGTATTATACGGATGCATAGGAGTCCGGAATTTGTAACAATACATGGCGTTAGTTAGCGGACACTACCTGACCTGTGTTTATACGATTGATTGCCTGAGCAGCATGTGGCGACCCCTTTGTGAGATGGATTGCTCAACAGACAAAAAGTTCAACAGCAGTCAGTAGGCCTTCACTCATTTTGTATACCCACGACGACTGACTGCGGGCTACTTTGCCGCCACGGGAAGAATTATCATTTATTGTGGCCCAAGAAGAGAGAAGAGACGGACGACGGGTGTATCGGGTGGACCGCCTTTAGTCTAGTCCAAACAGACTGCATTGCACCCGTCGTTAATAAAAAAGGTGTTGCGCATCATACCAACAAGTTGAAGCTCGCCCAACGCGAGCAACAATAATACCGATGATGATCTAGACTTACTTACGCTCAGAGGGTTTTTTCGCAGAAAACGGGGGCATCCAAGATTCGGAGTAGACATCGATCTATTCGTAAACGTAACTAACTCCGTTTGTGCGTCGCTCTCCAGGTCGTGGGGTTGCACTGCGCACCCGCCTCCCTCCACTGATGGTTCCGGCAGCTGACACGCCCTTACCATCCATCCATGTAAATAAATCTCCGATCGTTTGTACCCGGATCGACCAAACGCGTGTGTGTGCATGTGATGAGCTCGTTCGTTGGAGATAAATACCGAGGGGAAGGTGTGAGTACGACACGAGTACAAGTATACATAATACGCCGGCGCAGCGTTGAACAAACTTCGGCGACGCGGATATCAGATCACGAAACGCTTGCACAAGTAATCGTTCGGACCTGACCAGTCCCCAAGTAACGACGAGCACAACATGATCCACTCGTCCATCCACCAAGACCGCCGTGCTAGAATATTGCGTGACACATGACTGAACAGCGTCCGTTACGCGAGTGAGGGATATTGTGGAACAACAGCAGATCCTTCATCTCCAAAGGAGTACGTGGTATGCATATACCGCTTGCCGTAGTCTAGTCGGTGTGAACCTTCAACCACGGACATCGACCACAACATGGGGCGGGTGCACAGCGGCACTTATCTGTAGTCCAATGTCAGGTGAATTCATGACGCGCGTGTGTGTCGTCACACCTTCAAGTAAACATGGTAGTATTCTGTGACAGATCTCGACAGCCACCGGACGCAAAGAGGCAAGTTGGTGGCAAAGAGTGGAGTACAGTTTTTTGTACCCTCACACGGAAAAGTGCGAGCAAGAGACAGAAACGAACACGGCACACCGGCGCACTTCTTCGCGGCGCTTTCAGCGAAGGCATGCACCAATACTTCAACAGGCAAACAGGCTCTGCCAGTCCACTCGTAAAAAAGGGCACTCCGGACCACACACCTGCTGCCTGCTTTCCATTCATTGAAAAATGGTGGTCGCTGTCGAAAAATTGGCTGCTGCTGCTGCTGCTGTGCTGTGTCTTTTCGCCCACGCTTACCGTGAAAAGAAGAAAGAAAAGGGTGAGCTGTCAGCCGCGTCCGTCCGTCGTAGCACGTCTTCTTCGTCGTCTGCGTATCTCCTGCTGCTGTCCAACTAACTGCTTCGTTCGTTCTTGCTTGGTGTTTTCGGCGAACCACGCAAAGAGGCGATGGGTGACGAGGTGTGTCTGCGTGGTGGCCGCTGCGGTTCAGTTAATAGATCCGGTGCAGCAAGAAGCCAGGGGCTGTTCGGGATGCAGGTGTGGCTGAGTAAAGTTCAAACACGGCAGTTTGCCGAAAAGAATGCTCTTTGTGGGTCTGTCTCGGCATATATAGTGTAGCCAGTGTGCTGTCACACTCATCATCACTGCAGCTTGTGCATTAGTACGAATGAAGACTGTTGTTGTTTCCCACGGCGAGGACATACATTGCACAGCTTGACAAAAAGCAGTCGACATACACTGAGTACAAGGCAGGTGGGTGAACATAGATAGGCTCGCCCCTTGCCCCTTGTACGGGGTTCTCGTGTTCTGTCTATATGCATGCACGGTCCTCTTCTGTGTTTGTATTCTGTTTTCCTGATACGGTTCTGCAAGAAGACTTCGGGGTACGAAAATAAAATGGTGCAAGTTCGAAGAGGAGCTGTCGAAGAGACCTACCCTTCCAACAACTGCTTCCAATTACCGTGTCAAAAGGTAGGATGTCATGTCAAACACACATGCATTCGCAGCTGTATAGTTTCCCCGCCAAATCTCCACCGATCTTCGGCGGGAGCCTGTTCTTCGCGGGTGCTCTCACAGAGTATATTAGCCCTGCAAGTCAAGAGGGACACCACGATGTTGTTATGTTTGATTAACACAAAGGATAGATCAACGAGGTAAGGGGATTTCGTTCGGCCAAAAACGTGTGCGAATAGCGAATAGGCACACGACGCGCGAGATTATTTTGGGTCTCTATAATCATAAATACACGGACAGAGAGACACTACCAACAACCCATTCGAGATACACCCACACACAGTCGAACGAGATTGCTGGCACGTACATTAATGTGAAGAAAACAACAAAACAACAACAATGCTCCTGTCCCTAGTTGAGCGGTTCAGCACTACTTGCTAGTGACCACGCCACCGGGCAGACAGCAGTAGGTGCAGTAGTGCGTAAGGAAACAGAAAAGACACAGCAGCAGCAGCAGTAGGGTGAAGAACTGCAAGAAGAGGCGCAAGTTGTTGCGCACAACAAACACCTTCAATACGCGGAGGAACTTATTATGGAGAGATATTCCGTGAGGGAATGTTGCAGAACATATGATAATATGATACCTAGCTTCTTTCGGCCAAACCCCCGCCCGCCCACACAAAGTGAGAGACAGGAGAGCATGATGGTGGAGAGTACATGCATCCCTGGGTGGAGATACATACATTGTACACTCAGCATACATAGATAGGTTTCCTGCTTCCAAAAGAGGCGCCATGGTAGTCCCTACCCTTGGTGTGTTCGCGTCACGGACCCCCCGGTGCGGTGCCTTGGGTGCTCTGTCTCTGTTGCAGGCTTCTCTGTCTGTGTCGTTGGCCAAACAAGAAGACAGCCACATGACCAAGAAGAGGGATCCTGTACGTTGCATATGTTACGAATCCCTTGTTCACATCACAGCGGGCAAAGGTCGAAAGGTATGAAAATGCGGGGAAACCGCAGTGTTGGAGGTGGTGGAGGAAGGAATGTACTTATCTGCTGTAGGACATACCTGAAATTTGAAATTCAAATCCTTTACATGGTAGTCTAGTGTATGCACAGCAGCTACCAAGTGTTTGGGAGCATCAAGGACACAGCAGCTGCAACACGCCGCTATACTAATTGCTGTGTGCCTCATCGTATGCGTCTGTCTCCGGACGAAAGATGCGGTATAGACGCGGCTTGAGCTGCGTGCCTTGCCTTTATTTACTCTTGACTGGTATGCCGCCACCCGTTGTTGCCCCGCACCACATGTATCTACAGTCAGTACACTACTGTAGTCTAGGGTGTGAACCCCCTACACCCCATCTCATTTCACGAAACGGGGAATCTCTGTCTCCGTCTTCCTCGTGTCTGTGTGTCTCTCTACCCTCTACCTCTCTGTCTCTCTGTGCGTTTTTCTCTCTCGCTGCATCTCTCCATCTCTCTCTCTCCACTCCATCTCTCTCTCTCTCTCTGCATCTCTCTCTCTCTCTCTCTCTCTCTCTCTCTCTCTCTCTCTCTCTCTCTCTCTCTCTCTCTCTCTCCTCTTTCCCCTCCCCTCTCCCTCTGCAGTGCTGAGCGCATTATCTTGGTTGTTTCTCAACAAGCACAGCGTTCCCCCGACCCCGAGAAGAAAGAGTTAAGATTTCACCGTGTAGGAACGGCTTGTCTCCTCGAACCCTCACAGGAGCACAGCGCAGTAGACTGGCAAAGAGGGTTCGCCCCCACAAGACTCTGCTTGCAAGTAGCGCAAGTTTGCGTGAACGGAGGAATGAGGACTTAAAAGTAGGCTAAACCCTTGGCAGCAAGTTATGAAGTATCACGCTGTTGCTGGTTTCTTGCAGGCAATGGCAATCGCTAGGACACCTATCACTATGGACCGGGGTCATTTCTTGTCGTTTGTCGAGTCGGTAGCTTGGTAGATAGAGCGATGCGCTCGTGTACCGTATTGCTGGCGTTCGTCGACGCGTTTTGTCACCAAACCGTTATTGCTTGATTCTGTTTCCATGTCCATCCGAGCAGGGTTCGGACGCCCCGAAGCAGTGCCAAAGTGATGGATTCTTCTAGCCATGGCGATCGTCGGTATCATCCGCAGCCGCAGCGGGAGCACCAACCTGGACAAGATAATCAGCATGCTGCAAGTCCGAGCGCGGTTTCCTCCTGGGGGGTGACTTACCTCCTCCAGTCGGCAAAGCGAGGCTGGCAGAGGCACAAGTCTCCGCACGTGGCGTCGTTGGATGCGGTCAACAACTGGCTCGACGTAACGGATGCTGCCACCTCCCGACTCCAGGTTTTGGAGTTTTCTCGCGTAGTTCGTATTGCGCGTAAATTTCACCATCGTGTCATGTGCACATGCCACAGGCCTCGGGTTCGGTCTCCATCTACGCTTTTGTACCTTATGGTTAGGCGACTTTGTTCTGGTTTTTGTACTCAAGGCTATGTTTGGCAGGTGAGTTGTGTTGGGTCCTCGGCTTTGGTCGGCGTCTTCGGAGTCTGGATGGTATCATTATTTGGTCTATCTACAGCGAAACTGAGTCGGCAATCCTTACATGGCCCCCCCGACGCTCTCGGGCTGTTTCGATTGCTCTTGACAACACCGAACGAGCTGCAGCCCCCTCGTCCGATCATCCAAAGGGTGGAAGGTTGTTGGCTTGGCTTGCTTCGTCGGCAGAGAACCCCAATGCATACACCCCTGCTGCACCACTGGTCGACTTGAGTCAGGACCGGTTGCGCTGATTGCTTTTGCCCGTCCTTCACCCACAAGCACGGATGCGCCCTCGCTAAATATTAGATCATGTTGGTTTTGACAGTAGAGATCGTATGAGACTTTGAGAAGTGGAACCAAAGCGGAATGAAGGAAATGAACATCTCCCCATGACGGCCTCTTCTGGCATCCCAGTGACTCTCTGATTAGAGCCATGCCCGCGTTGTCCACCCCGTCTGCCTTTACCGGTGAAAATCCAACCAAAGGAGCGGGTGGATTTGGCAGAGGGTGCGACGGTGGGTGCGATTGAGGTGGCGTTTGTCGCCGCCGCGGCTGCTCAGAACATTGTCAGGTGCGTGTGAGGGAGAGAAACAGAAAGAGACTGACGGTTAGATACAAAGAGAGGCACAGACAGACAGACAGACAGACAGACAGGCAGGCAGGCAGGCAGGCAGAGAGGCGAAGAGCAGGAAGAAGGAGAGAGTTGTGATGCACCATGCCCGAAAACTCTGGAAGCGCTGTGTGATCGAGCTACATGTAGTAGGTATGACGCATTTGATGTGATGCCGGGAATCAGGAGAGCTTGCTTCACATCAACAAGACAGAGCGTAAGGCCTACATGGGTCCTGCCGGTTTATTCTGCTACATAGCCCTAACCTTTCGAGTGCCGCTTCACGTCCTCCCTCTGGAACTTGCGCTTCCCTGCACCTGCCTGGTCGTTGTGGATGCTGTGAACGCGACTGCCATGATGCGCAGGTTTACCCTACCGGGGCACCCGGTTCGGAAGTTCGCACTCATTGCGGAGAGTGGCCGGAGTGCCGCGGAGCTGTGCCACGCGCTTGATCGACAAGGTGAGCACGAGGACAACAACAACAACAACAACAACAACAACAACAACAACAACAACAACAACGACAGCAGTGACACAATGCTTATCAACACAACAACGTCCGCACGAACACCAACGAAGCCAACAAGCACGTCAAACTCCGGTTATTTTTGTCGGGAATGTTTCGGCGATAATCCATCTAGCATCTTCCCTCGCCCGTCCTTGCGGTGCACCACGAGGCGTTTCTCCTCCTGCAGTTGGTCTGTGTGGGCGTAGCTATTTAGTCGGCGTTGCTGTCTATCGGCAAGCGCAGGAAATCTTCATCCCTGCACTCACACCTGTGCCTACAAGGAGCGTTGACTGGCGAAGGCATGCCCGTCATCAGGTTTCAAAATGAATAGCCTCTTCACATGGAGACATAGTTCCCTGGGGTTCTCTTCCCATACTCTGCTGTCTCCTTGTTTTTGTTTTTGTTGAAAGCGCGGCGGAGGGGGGTAACTTGCCTTGCCGCCGCTCCTGCACAACCGCAATCGCCTCCGCCGCTCGTTCCGTGTTTTCCCTGTGTTTGGCGAGCAGGCGTTTCGGTGCGAGGCATGGAGGACTTGCCCGACGCGGTGTTCCTGCGTGGAGGCGATCAGCAAACTGCGCAAGCCTTGGAGGCCGGGATTCCCAACCTGTCAAGGCCAGAGGTGCAGGCTTACATCGTCAGGTGATCGCGACGTAGTTAGGATCATATAGAGGTACCAAATCCCCGTTTGTTGGTTTGTTGTGGAGGGATTGTTTGTGCGATTGGAGTGGGGTGTGCTGCTGTGCCACCCCCTCAGAGGGGGGAGCTAACGCATTGGCTTACGAAGCACCTGTCAAGTACTTCTCGTTGATGCCAAAGCCAATATATTGCTTTGACGCCCGAGCAATGGGTGTGCTGGGTGTAGCTGCCCGCCAGTTTGTGGTACACTAGCGCCCTAGGCATACAGCCTGATGCAATGCTCAAAGTTGATATCTCTGTCTGCTTGACGTCCGGGGGTATCCGATGCCTCACGCTGACAGCCTCCTCACTTCGGGTGTGCTCGCGTCGTCCCTCCCTGTCGCACATGCGTCTCCCGTCCCGTCCGAACATGAACGCGGAATACCGATGCCGACAACCGACGGGAAAAATGCCGAACATAGGCTGCTGTTTCAGGACTCTTTCCATCAGTTCGTGAGCGACCTCAGTGAGCTGTTCTCTCACGTGCAGACCCGCCTTCCGGTACCGACCTCAACGCCGATGCGAACATCAGCCAGCGACCCACCTGCTGCTGCTGCTGCTGCTGCTGCTTCTCACGGGGGAAGCGGTGAGGATAGCCCCTGCGGGGGGAGACAAGCGGACGACATCGCTCATGGCGGCAACGGCGGCCGTGATAGCGGCGTCTTGAACGAGGGTCGGAGGGGGTGCGTGGGAAGTTTCAACGGAGAAGAAGTTGTTTCCACCGGCGGTGGAAGCAGAGCAGTTGGTGGGGAAGAAATAGTTCGGGGAGAAGGAGGTTCGGTGGCCGGCAGTGGAGGAAGGGGCAAAGGGAAAGGGAAGGCGAACGCGAACAGAGGGAGAGGTGGAAGAGGGAGAGAACGGGGGCGTGGCAGAGAACGGGGGCGTGGCAGAGGAGGAGGAAGAGAATCCCATTCAGCAAAACCTTCAGGTGCTCGTGGATCCCGGCGAGGAAGCCAGCAGAGGAATGACGGGACTGGCGGTACCGGTCCTGGTGGCGCAATAGATGGAGCTGAGGATGACATTCGCACTGCAGCAGGGTCCCCTTGCCGAGGAGGAGTACCCCCAGCTCCCCACGCACGACGTGCGAAACGGCCTGCCACAGAAGAAGCAGCAGCAGAAGCAGCAATGGCAACAACAGCCACAGGTGGGAAGGGTAGCGCGAGAGGTGCCGCCAAGGGATCCACTCAACAAAGACCAGCACCTCCCGCCAAGCGCGGGCGCACGCAGCAGCAGCAACAAGAACAACAACAACAACAACAACAACGACAACAGAGAGAATGTGGCGTTGGCGGTGATACCTCAGGTTTCACTCAAAGCTTGGCAAGCGGAGACGGCAAAGGCACCAACGGTAGTCGTAGCAGTGGTGGTGGTGGTGGTGGTGACAAGGCGCCGAGCCGGAGGGGACCCGTAAGCCGGACAGGAGGTGGAGAAGCGGGAACGGTTGTCGCCTCAGCACGGGGAGTGGCATCATCCGGACGGGCTGCGAGGGAGGGAAGCGGAGGCCAGCAGGTGACGGGAACGGGTGCGAATGGCGGCGGTGCGGGGCAACCGAAAGCATCGGGAAACGGGAACAGCAAAACGAGCGCTCGAAAGAAGAAGAACAGGACTGCGGGTGCTGCCCCCTCTGCCGCTACCTCCTCAGGCTCTTCTGCCACCGTCGCAGCCGCTTGCGAGGCTTTCGCTTCCGCTGCCCCTAGGACCGGTGGGGGTCTAGGTGGGGGTGCGGCGGCGGCGGCGGTGGCGGCGGCCGGCGGCCGGCAGGGCGACACGATGCCTGGCGTCACGCCTATCATGTCGCCGGTCACCTCCAGCGGGAGGGCGCCCGGGCTCTGGACGACCCTGAAGAAGATGTGGTCTGAGGTCAACAAACACCGCTCCTCCTGGGCGTTCCGGTGAGCTTGCTTGCCTGCGTGCGTGTGGGACGCGTAGCGTTTTGCTACGGTTTCGGTGCAACTAAAGACACCACTTCTGTGGCCGCCTGTGTTGGTACACCGCCTCTCTCTCCCCATTTGTCATCGTGCTCACGAACTCCGCAGTCCGCTCTCGCGCTCTCCAGCCGAACGTCTTGGGGGCCTTTGCGTGTTCATGAATGTCCAGGGGGGGGGTACGTCTTCGTGACCCCGGTCTTTCGGTGACGTCAGTGTGTTCCGTCTACGAATAAACGAGCTTGCCTTTTGGCTCGCCCCGGCAGGGCGGGCAGAGGGTGGGGCAGGCAGATATCGATCTTGGTGGGATTTAATGTTGAACACACACATTTTTCCGTGCGGCAAACGGGGCTGATTAGGTTGGATTTGACAGCACAGAGCCGCTGGCTCCCCTGGAGGCAGTGTTCGTGTCTAATCCATGTTGTTGTTCGTGTGTCATTTCCTGTTATTTCTCGCTCTCGGCAGGGTAAAAGGAAACGGGGTTCACAAACACTTACACGATGGGCGCGCCACTCCCGCCCTTAGCCTCTCACCTTTCCGTGCGCAATGCCCTGCCGCCACTTGCGTACTAAAAAAAAATGCCACCGCAACACCAATCGGTGCGTGTGTTGTGTAACGCGCGTGGACACACACCACCTGTAATTTTCTGAATCGTCGCTCGATGTTCGTCTCATTCGTCGGTTCTCCTGTGGTCCACGGCCGCGGGTGCCTTGATTTCGCAGAAAGGGGGTGGACCCTACGATGGCACCCGGCTACCTGGACGTCGTCAAGCACCCCATCGGTGAGGACGAACGGTGGCGATCATCGTTGCTACTGCTGTGCTTCTGTCGCTTGTCTTCGCCTAGGCAAGAAGTGGCAACACCCTCGACTATTCTCCTACGTGATCGCCCCCTGAAAGTGTCGGGCGCGCCGGGCTCCGTCCAACCTGTGACGGCGTACCCCCCCCCCCCCCCCCGAAACGATCGTCGTCCTGCGGTGGGTACCAACACTGGGCTGTCTGTTCGCCGCTGCTGTACTACCTTGTACTGCTGTGACGTGCTTTCGTTGAGTTGATCGAAATTCGCAGCACTGTCATGTATGTCCCACCCCTGCTGACGCTTTTATGTATGCCCGCAGACCTTGAGGGCATCCGCAAGCGGCTCGACGGCCCGGTGGTACACTACACCAGCAAGGCGATGCTGCAAGACGACCTCGAGCTCATGTGCCGGAACGCCATGCTCTACAACGACGAAGGGACCGAGTACCACAGGTACAAGTGGGTAGGTGTGCTGGCAGAGGACGGTTGGTTCCGAGTCTGCTGTGTTGGGGTCAATACAGCTCACGTATACTTCGTATCGAGAAATACTCCTGGTTGGTGCCTGTCTCTCGAGTCAGGAATCATTGTTTCCGTTCAAGAACTTGGGGTGGCTTCCTAGCTTTTGTTGCGCTCCCTCCACCCGCCCTCGCCACGCCGCATGTCATCAAACCTAGTTGTTTCTCATCGTACTAAAAACGGGAATGCTGTGTATTGGTAAACGCGTGAATTCCGTCGTGCCCACCGTGGGCAGGTGGCAACTGGGAACCCAAACCCGTGTTCCACCGACCTCCTCGCTACCCTGGTCGGTTCTGTGGCAACCCAAACCCCTCGCCCCCCGCCCCGCGCACCCACGATTGCTATGTTTTGTGCTCGGGTGATGTTTCGTTTCGATAGAGTTGCCGAAGACCTCTTGCGCTTCATCGAGTCGATGTTTATCCGCTAGGTTGGCGGGCGAGCCGGGGCACACCAATCATGGGGAGGTCGCGGCAATGACGATCGTGGTGGTTGTGGCGATGCTGTTCGATGCAGATAGAAGGGCGCTCCGGAACACTCCTTGCCCAGGCATGCATATCGTGTCGCGCGCAGGCTTTGAACTACGGTCGAATGGTGTGTTCGGGAGAGAGAGTGCTACGGATAGCAGGGCCCTGCTACCCAGATCGCCGGGGGTTGCACGGCTTACTCCACCGCCATATCGTCTGTTTCTTTTCTAGAGCACGGAAGAAGGTGTGGGAGGAGTCTCGGGAAACAGCGCGAAGGAACAGGGGGGGGCAGGGTGTCACACTTAGGCATTTTCGAGAGGGACGCTGGGTGGTCATGGTAGACAACTATAGCTGGGTTCTATGGCCTGTACACAGTAGAGAGAGATCAACCGGATACACTTTTTTCTCCCCGCGGGTGTTGAAGACACTTCTTTTTGCGGCGGAGCATGTTGGGGGTCGTCTACGAGGCTGCAGTGGTGTGAGGAGAGTGCAACTCACGTTCGGCTGGGGGGATAAGGAGATGAGCCCCCGGTGGCAAACCAACGCCCCCTTGAGATCTGTGTCGTCGGCAGGGCAGGGGAATCACAAGAGCCAGGCTTTTTTCAACCGGACAGTTGTCTCCACGAGACATTCTGTCGTGACATCCAGGCCCTCTCTCGAGAAGTACCCCTTTGCCCACGCGTCCGGCAAACCACTTGTATTCACACACGCAAGCCACAATAAACAACCCTCGGCGAAAGGACAGCAGAGGTGCATGAAGAACACCCAACACGACGACGCACCATCTCCGACAGCCGAGCCCGGGGCGGGGAAAGCAGCAAAGCAACAGCGGCGGGATATCGCCTTATCACCCTAGGACCCTAGGTTGTTTCGAGCGATTTGCTTGCTTCGTTTCGCACCCGGACCCAACTCAAAGTTATTTATGTATGTCTGACCTATCTTGTGTGTGTGTGGGACTGGGGGGGGGGGGTGAACTCAAGCGCGATATTGGTACTTCCTTCCAGACGTAAGATGTCGTGGACGCATTATAGATCCTTTTCCCACATTCGGTCTCCCGACGCGATGTTCCTCCTCGAGTTTTCCTCAGACCGCCTTGAAAGATTTACCATCGCAAGAAAAAAAAAAGGGAGGGCAAGTTTATTGATGAGCCTCCCCGGGCTACCCCCGGGACCATTTTTTCGTGTGTCTAACATTGACCTTGGGTCGTTGGCTGTCTATCCCAAACACCGACACTCGTACGCTGTGCTTGAGAGCGCCAATGACAAAAATAACGCGGGTACACGTATTGTATGTATGTGTCCCACAGGTTCCAGTCACCCTAGCAAAAGACTACCGTTGGCGCTGAGCAAACCGCAAAACAAATAGCGAGGTTTCCCGTGCAGAAAAGTGCGATAGAATTGCACTCTCGTTGACTTCGATTCGCGGTGCACCTCGGGTTTCGATCATAGAGTACACGGTCACGATAGCCGTACCACCTAAATGTCATGCGCAGCATACAACCAACTTGAAGTCACACCGTACGTAGATAAACCCCGAACAGATTAACGCCGCGGTCGACCTCAACTCCGTATAAATCATGGCAAGAACATGTTGGTGCCAGAAGACGTTACTACTATCACCGGCTGGTTGGCGCCTCGCCTCGCCCTCTCATCTCTAATTCCGTCTGCCTACCATGTCAATTTTGCTTGTCTGCCTACTGAGTGCTTTCTGTGCCCGCAGGAAACAGTCTTGTTCGTTCAATGCGAGCAATTCAATCCCTACATACGCTTTTATGCGGGGCCACGCAATATTCGCGACCCGAAACACGCCTAATACCTATCTCTATTGTACAACACCCTTGCCTGTAGGTTTGACCAGCAGAAGTCCCAGATAACGGCGCGAAATACACGAAAGCTAACTACACCTTCCAGCCCCCATTTGGTCTCGACACGACCTTTGGCAACAAACAGGACATTCAAGTCTAAACGAAAGCCTTGCCTGGTCTAACTCGTCGATGAAGTCCCGGTAGCGTCACGACTTCTAGCGTGCGTCATCCTCGTGCAAAACATAACTGGCTTTGTACTGGAGACAATCAGAAACACCTGTTACGCGCGGTGCCCGTCGATGATGCTTGCTCTACTGTCTGCAACTTCACGCGCCCAACGTCGCTGTTGGCCTTCAAACAGCTCTCCACGGTCTTGTAAACTCTATCAGGACCACACCCATCGCAGCGGGCCTTTCCCGCTCAGTATCCACACCCTTGCAAAATCGCGCGCGGGTGTTCCATGCAAGTTGTGTGACAGCTCATATCACCCAACCGCAGCTATTTGAGAGACGAACTATTTACCAAACTCGCCATACTTCACAACACCAGCCTTCTAGCAAGTAGTCCTCGACGACCTCGCCTGTACCCCCGCTCCCCATGGCCTTGACGAGAACCCCATCATCATGAATCATCTCATCACGTAATGACCGTCGGGGAAGACCTCCCTGTAAACTCCTCCAGCCTCGACATCTTGAGGCCGATGTCCACCAAGGGTCTGAGGACGTCTGCCGTCATGAGCCCCTGCTTGGACGGATCCGGCTCGTACTTCTCGATGTACATGCGCACGGTGGCGCCCACGGACCCTGGATGGATGGGTCGGGGCAGAGCCAGAGCGTGCCGAAAAAACGGTGTTGTGTTGTTCAGAATGGTTTGGGTTATATAGTCCCGAAGCTAACGGCCGACCTTCTCTTATGCCAATTCGGCTTCAACGGCTCGAAATGCACACAAGCGGCCTGTTGTTCTGACCGGTTGATCGGTTGACCAACTTCCCCTCCTGTTCGGACGGCGTTCAAAACTGCGGAGCTCCCCTCCCTTTTTGAATAGACGGACTGGGAGTGGGTTCCCCTTCAGCGTCCAAAACTGCGGAACTCCCCTCCCGTTTTTAATAGACGGACTGGGAGCAGGTCCTCCTTCCGCCTCGGCAGTCTGTCTACACACGGCTGTGTTTCCGCTACGGATTGACGCCCCCGATGCAACGCTTGCGAACAAAGGGGCTAGCATCCGCATTGTTCCAAAGCAGAAGAACCCATATCCATCTTGCTTTGAGGCAAAAGGAAGACAAAGCAGTTTCCAGCTCTTGGTGTAAGATACTTGACGCGAATTTCGACAGTATCTCATGCCGGTCCCTTTTCACGATCTCTGAACCACACGAGAGCATCACTTGATTGGCGGCTGGCTCCGCGTGTGGCACGTGGCAAACATAAACATACGTACCAGTGCCGGAGAGCCTGAAGACCACCCGGGAGCCGTCCGTGAAGAGCACTCTGACCCCCTGGTTCTTGGACACACTGCCGTCGATCGGGTCCGTGTACTCGAAATCATCGATGCCTGATGTGGGCATCATTTATGGTTTGCGTGGGGTACAAGCATGGACGACGAGGGGGGGGGGGGGGGCGTCAAACACGCTGTACACCGTCTCATTCTTTTTGCTGTCGTATGGTTGATATTGGTTGTGGTTTATGGTTGCTGCTGCTGATGCTTGCGTATCCAGAGCGCTAGATGAAAGTCCGTGGGGCGGGGCGCGGTTGGGAGTGGTTTCGAGCAGCACTCAAAAAAGTCAGCGGCGGGTAACATTAGGGTTTTACCCCCCCTTCGGCAGCAAAGAATAAACAAGAGAGGGTCTACAGCAGTACGTTTTATCTCTAGCGTCGATCCTCGGCCGTACTGAAGCCCTGTGCTTAGCCGAAAGAGAACGCCAGGCGCACAAGGCGGGAATACCAAACACGCTAGGGAGAGTGGAAGATGATAACACAGGCACACGGAAAGGGGGAGTGCTCCGCGCTTTTCCTCGTAAGGAAGCCTGCTGTTCTTCGGCCATCATTGTAATAACATACTTCGTATCCACCACGTACTGCTGTAGATACCTTTGAGCTCGAAACCTGACCCCAGGTCGTCCCCAGGCTGCGCGGGGCCGGCGCGGAGGTTGTCCGTCATGGCCTCGGCTCCCTCGGATGCCACGCCTTCGTAGTCGTACCTTGCCCAACCAAACGCACCCCGCACACGCGCGTAACGCACGGATCGTTACAAGAAACTAAGCTGCGAGCACAAGCCTTAAAAACTGAAAGACAAAGAACAACTGGACCAAGGTGCCCCTTGCATGTCTTTTACACCCCCCCCGCTCGGGGGTCGTGTCTGTTGATGCTCCTGCGTGTTTGGGTTGCCGCACGCACCCTCGATTGGGCAGGGGCACGTCAGTCAAAACACAGCGCCCGTTCGTGCGCCACGCCCCTCGCTCACTCCTTCATACCGCACCACAACCGACACAGCAAACCGAAAATGAAAAGCGCACACCGCAAAAGCAACACAATCACACAACGCTTGGCGTAGGTTAGGGACGAAGGGAGGAAGTCCAGCGGCGTGTACTTCCAGCACCGGCTATCAGTGAGCCTGAACGCTTGCCCCCAGAACGATCAACTATACCATCTATCCCCGTCTCCCACTCAAGCGGCCCCGGCGAATGCAAAAAAAAAAGAAGCAACAAGCACAACACCTCGAGTAGAAGTTCCGTCCGTACTCCCGCCAGTGGCCCTCCACGATCTCCTGCACCCCGATCAGCGGCGCTGTTGCCGTCCCCCCGCCGTCCCCCGTCGTCTCCACCTTGTTGCGGTGGGCGATGACGGACATCCACGCCAGCACCGCCCACAGCCCGTCCTTCTCCCTGACGTGGTCGGAGCCCGTGCCGAAGCTCTCCTCGCCGCACAGGAAAGGGAAGTAGGACCGCTCGTGCCCCATTTCCTTGGCATCCATCAGGTTTCTGGGTTGTGTCGTGGTACCGCAACCGTTGGTACGTGCGTGTGCGTGTATATGGGTCGAACGGGGACATGGCGGGTGGGGGGTGATAGCGACAGGATCAGGGCAGGTGGGCACACACAGCAACAACGCAGGCGCCACAATGTCGAAAACACACGCACACAAATCTCCACAACGATTTCTCCACCGGAACCCGTGGTCGGGCGTCTCGAAGCACGGGTATTCTCGGTACTACACAGGCGTTCCGGGCACACACATAAACACGTGACATCGCATATGTCACACTACAAACACGATCGTGACATCACATATCCCACACTAGTACAAACACGATCGTGACACCACATACCCCGCACTAGCACAAACACGATCGACTCCCCCTCCCGCCCCCCGCCCAACGCACACGAACCCCCGACAAGCAGAAGAAAAGAAACGCGCACCCGAAGAACTTCCACCCCGTGGGCGTCTCGAACATGGGCACCCCCTGCCTCTCGCACACCCTGTCCAGCGCGCCGCTCGTCGGCATGCTCCTAGCCGCCCCGCCGAGCCCGCCTGCCCTCGCGAAGTACGGCACCGCCGCGGCGTTGGCCGCGATCACCGCAAGGGAGTCGCTGGGAGTCACGAAGAAACGCCTCCCCAGGATCATGTTTCGGTCGGCGTCGCCGTCGGCCGCGGCCCCAAGCGTGGGCGGTTCCGCCGCGTCTGCTGCTGCTCCTTGGAGGGGCTGGGCGCTGCTGTCGAGGCCCATCCTTCGCACCAGGCCGGAGGCGTATGCGAGGTTGGGGTCCGGGTGGCTGCCGCCGAAGTCTTCTCTCGGGTCGCACCTTTTTTTTATGGGGAAGGTTCGTTTGTTTGGTGGAGCGGGGCGGGGGGGGGTACTGCTGTTGGTTGTTGTTCGTTTTGTTGCTGCTGCTGTTGTTGTTGTTGCTGATGATGATGTTTGTGGTTGTCGCGGTGCGTGTGACACCTTTGATGGATGCAAACAGCTTGAGCTCGTGTGCTTCTCTCGCGCATCAAAAGGGTATGAACAAAGACGATCATCAACGAGGCTTTGAAGGAAAGGCTCCTCCCGTTCCAGCGGCCGAGCCACCAGGTCTCGTCTTGGGATTGCAGCCGTCGCCAGCCGCAAGCAACACCAGCACTATCGGTACTCCTCGCAGTGCTCTCTCGTGTTTATGCAATGGGAGAGGTGTCTGGTGTAACAAACTCAACAACTCGAAGCCTGCTGTGTCATTGATGTCAGCGTGGACAAGAAACGCGTGTGACTTTCATCAGACAGAAAATGTTTCACGTTGGGCGTAGAGAGGGTCGCGACGACATCGCCACGAATACAGCCGCTCGGGAGGAACGCGCAAACCATGCAACGCACGCCACCGTTCTCCCGGCTACACGACATGAATGAGACGAGACCACTGGTTCTGTGGCGAGAACGAAAGGAAACCCCCACAACCCTCATTTCAGTTCAGACCTAATGTAGACCGCTGATCGTCTCTTGTACGACACAACACAGCAGCAAGAACACTCATCGGCAGCAGCAGCACCAACAACACCAACAACAACAACAACAACAATAACAACAACAACACCATATCGCGTTCACCTCAGCAGAGACTCCTCGGACGCGCCGAGCTCGTCGACGAAGACGCGGCTGGCGTAAGCCCCGGCCACCCCGTGCATGCCGTCGAAGACGAAGCTGAAGTCGGGCCGGGCCAGGAGCGCCCTGAGGGTGGGGAAGTCGAACACCGTCTTCAGCAGCGCCACGTACTCCTTAACGGTAGAGGTACAAACAGTGGAGAGGATCATGTGGGAAAGTGAGAGAGTGAGAGAGAGGCAAGTACGGGAAGTCAAAAGTGCAGACAAGTCGTTAGCGGGGTGACATACTTCTGCCCTTACGAAATGCAACAGTAGTGGAGTGTGGTAATGAAGGGGAGGCGGGCGGGGGATTCAGTGCATGAGGAGCTGTTCACAGGTCACGGTGCGTTCTTGAACAGCACAGGGAAGGAAGGCGGGAGAATACGCGGAGAGAACGGCCGAAGCGACAAACAAAACATAATATTACGGTCAAAGTAAGGTTATTTCGCGCAAGCGCATACAGCCAGCGGGCTTGCACAAAAGTGAAGCGGCGTTCCAACTTGTTCTTCACCGCTCAAGCAGCACAATACCAACCCTAACACAAATGAGAGCGGACAGACTATTTAGAACGATCGACACCATCTTCGACTGCGAAAGCAATGGTTCAAAGTTTACGCTGCCTGCTCGCATGACACACGCATTCACACTTTCTCTCTCACACGCACACCTCCACGGGGTCGATAACCTCGACGTCCATCCCGGCGACCTTGGTCTTGCCAACAACGTCCAGGTTCACGTCGGGCGTGCCCTCCACCGTGCGGTACGACTTGAGCTCCAACCTGCACGCGAGCACCCAGCAGCACACGGCCACGTGCACGCACGCACGCACGCACCCACCCGTCAACACCGTTCCAATCACAAGCAGCATTCGCTGGCACGGGCTCTCAATATTACACAGCGAAATCCCACATACAAACACAAGCGACCAAGGCAACGGGACTAGACGTCCTCGATGCTCTGTTGATGTGCGCGCTCGGCAGGGCAATAATATATCATCCACTTGTTGTAATCTATATATAATGTGAACTATTCTCAAGAACTGAACCTAAATAACATGTTTTACTATTTACCATTGCGTCAGATTAACCTGTTCTCATGAGTGCGGTTTTGATCCTCATGAAGATGTTCGTAATGCTTTCGATGTTCGTTTTTATTTTGTAGCAATCCTTTTTCTTCTTTTTTAGAAGGCCGGGCGGGAGGGGGGTGGTTCTATTATGCTCAAGCAGAGGCTTCTACTATAGATGTCTCGTATCAGAACAGCCCGGTGACTTCGGCCTCGATCGCCAAAAACACATCTATCTATCGACGAGAGATAGAGATACGTGGAAAGGAGCGTGTGTGCCGGCGTGTGCGGGGGGTACACGGTCCGACCAGGTTGGCGAAACAAAGGCTTCCCGTTCGCGTCTACACATCTGTAATACGGAGGGGGTTGCAGAAATTCGAGTGTCCAATATGTCCCAACAAGCAAGGGTCATCGTTGGTTCGCGTTTTCCCCCCGCTCTTGCGTATGACTAATCTCTCTCTCTCTCTCTCTCTCCCTCACGTGCGGGCGTAGACAGCGTCGGTGATAACCTCGGTGGCCGGACTGCCGCTGGCGGTGTTGAACTTGATGCCGAAGTCTTCGTCGGGTCCTCCAGGGTTGTGGCTTTGGCGTAGCAGCATCAGGGGGGTGAGGCGTGTATTGACGAGGAGACATTGAGCGCGCGGGGGGGCGGGGGGGGGGGGGGGGGGGGAAACCCTTTACCCCCCCATTTTTGGGGGGTTTAAAATTTACCCCCCCCCCCCCAAAAAGGGAAAATGTTTTTCCCCAACAAAAAAAGCCCAAAGGGCAAAATTTCCTTAAACCCCTCCCCTGAAGAGGGGGGGGAAAAAAGGTAAAAATGGGGGGTTGGGGCCCCCCAACCAAGGAGGGTTTTTTAAACGGAAAAAGGGGGAAATTTTCCCTTTTTTAAAAAATTTTTTCCCCCCCAAATAAAATTCCTATTTTTTGGGTCCGCCTTCCCTTGGTACGGGTAAAACCCTTTTTAAAAAAAAAACATTTTGGGAAATCAAAAAACCCCCTTTGTTAAACAAAAATTT